TATATTATATTTTTTAAAATTATTTACGGATTCTATACTAAGAATTGGATAGTGCACTCAAAATATTTTAGCAATCACACTTGATGTCACCCTAATTGCACTCAATTAATAGGACAGTCAATAATTTCTGATTAAGATGATGTGTGATATAAATAGTATAAATTAAAAATATATAAAATTTTAATTCATTTTATAGTAAATAGTTGATACGTGTTATGAAGGGATAGTAATTATTGAATCACTTATATTGTATAAGTGTTAGCTTGCTCAGTTTTTGTAGAATTTCCATTGTTTGTACAATGTCCTTAAAAATTAAAATACTTATTTTGAAGGCATGTGTCCGATGGTTACAAATTAGTGACTGTCCTATTAATTGAGTGCAAACTTATGTATCCTGTATTGAAATGAGGGGATTATTTCTAACGAGTGGTGTCTGTATCGGATTGAGTGCCGTTCCCTTTGTGTCCGTCTCCTCCAGCAACCAGTATGTAGTCAGTGATCCTCTTCCCTATAAAATAATATTTAGAAAATAATTTTTATTAAATTTAATACTCTGTTAAAACCATTGTAATTTAAAATTCTTGTATTTAGTTGAAATATTAGTGCAAGCATATTGTACAGTAATATTGTATTATTCACATTATTTTCAGATTTTAGTTTATTTTATTTTGTTTTATACAGTATTACTATTTGATTATTATTGCTATAACTATTATTCTGGTGTATATATTCTGTAAATATTCTATTAGAATTGATATTTTCAAATATTATTAACGCCTTGGTGAACAGCCAATTTTAATTTGCAATCAATATACAGTAATGCCTCATTCATAAGCATAATATTACTGTATTTGTCTGAAAAAGATTTATCTGTTCATATTTATAAATGACTACATAATCTCTTTATTATTATCATATTAAATCATGAATGTAGCATTATTTTGTACATTTTTTAATACAGATTGATTTCTAGACAAGTTTTTCAATATTTATACAGTTTATCTCTACAAGTTATAAGTTGAAAAGCAATAAAAACATTAATATTTATTAATAGCATCATTAAAACCATAACAATTTCAACATCCTATAGTTTGGTCTATTTAATGGCTTTTCTAAATTTATAACACCATTACTACAATAAAAGATTTGAACTGATCGGAGCTAGCTCACTGAATGTTAAAACTTTAACCTTTACAAATAAAATATTCAATTATCGCACAGAATATTCCGATTATTCTTACAAATAGCAGAATATTCTTGTCTACCGCACAAATGGTATAAAATTGATTAAACACTATAATTGGCACAATTTATTTATACAAGACATACTACACTGTCACAGACGTATAGTCTTTAATATAACAGACTGTATGGTAGGAGTGCACTTGAATGCAGTGACCTAGCACATGATTGTATAGAAATAATGATAACGAACCCGAATGTCGACTTCGCCTCTTAACTCCAATTTGAAGTCATTCCCAAACTTATCTAATATTTGTTTTGTGGCTGAACTCACGTGAATCTTCAAAGCTTTTAGTTAAACACATAATTAAATAATGAGTTTTCAAATCA